AACATGCACAGACAAATCCAAATTAAACCCTGTGGCTTGTGACGACACATTGATGTCCTAAGACATGAAACGATCGGTTTGTGCCAGAAGCCGAACAGTATTTATATCATATTTTACCTCTAATACACCACTGTGTCCAACTGTCTTTGGCCGCGCGCACGGCATCCAGTGCGTGAGGGGGGTACGCGCTCTGGCATAGTTTACGTTAAAGGGTTTGTTGATATCCAGCCGAAGAGCAATAAACCATAACTTCAAGTGAGCAGGCTCAGAAGTTGGGAATACGTGGAAAGTCACCACTCACGAATGAGTTCACGCGAGAGAACGTAATCTTTTAGTTTTAAGTCGGTTTGAACAATCCGGATAAGCGCAAGTAAGTACCATTTTGATTAGCCGTCGTACCTATAATGACTGTGCACTGTGTAAACAATGAGTGACGTATACGCGCGAGAGATCACTTCCGGCGCTTGTGTAAACTACGCCAGAGCGCGTACACACCTCACGCACCGGACGCCGTGCGCGCGCACAAAGCAGCTGGACATAGTGGTGTATTAGAGGTCAAATATGATATAAATACTGTTGGGTTTCTGGCACAAACCGATCGTTTCGTGTCTTAGGACATCAATGTGTCGTCACGAGCCGCAGGGTTTAATTTGGATTTGTCTGTGCATGTTTTTTTTACTCTCATAAATTTTGTTACCATTGCCATGCATTATACGACTGTATATATATATATATATATATATATATATATATAGTGTGTGCATATGAATATATATAAATACATATACACATTAAATTAAGTACAGTAAATTAACTACATATATTCACTAAGTATATACATTTTAAATGGACATTTAGTGTATGAATATGTATTTAAACACAAACGTGTGTGTGTCAGTCACCTACATCTTGGATGCATTGGGGGTAAGCAGATAAACATCACATTTTCATTTTTGGGTGAACTATCCCTTTAACACCAACCCCATCATTTGTGCTCCAGGTTCACATATTTAATATTATAAAATATTATAGCAATACAATAGCACACAATAGCAATAAATTATTCAGAATTGATTGATTCTCCCTTATAGACTTTTTTCACATTTCCAGGTGTCTCAGCAGCGGCAGTCGTCATAGTTGGGTAAACTTCGAGAGCAGTGAATGGGAGAGTAGCCTACCACAAATATATTTTTACATTCCCATTTGCTCAAATAGCAAAAGAAAAAAAACCCACGATAGTGTTTTCATGACTTTCAATAAGCATAAAGTCATTTGATTTTGTTCAGTTTCTCAGCAAACAAGACTTAATGTTCATTTTGCATCTCATGCATCTTGATTTAAGGATGTTTAGATATTTAGATAAGAAAACAATGCATGCAATGCATGCAACATTTAATGTAACTTTTGTGAATTTAAGACATGCTTCTCTGATTTAGGAGCTTTTTAAGGCCTTCATTTGTGGAAGTAGCTAATTTTATTTTAGCTACACCATGTGAAACCAGTGAGAAGATACATTTACCACGATATCCACGACTGCACTTTCAGCTCTCTGACCTCCACATGGATTGGAATTATGAACAGCCAGAACTAAAAATAGTTACAATAATATAATATGTTCATTCCGTGACAAACTTCTAAATAGTCAGACCAGTGGCCTGTATCAGGATTATAGTTAACTAAAACTACAACCAAAAAAAAAATAAACATGAACTGATAGACAGACACCTTAACTTGTACTAAAAAAACTTGAATAAAAAACAAACAAAACATCACAGAATTAACTAAAATGAAAATATAAAAATAAAAACATTCAAAATATTAATACAAACTGTAACGGCATCTCAATGATACTAAAATAATATCGGTTTGTTTGTATGTGACCATAACCTGGTTTAAAAATTATGTTCAGTCATCTTTCTGCAAGATCTTGTGTGTCAACAAAGAGGCACAAATCACTTTCTCTGGCTTTTTATTCTTGCAAATAAATGCCTATTTTCTTCCAAACCCCATAATTTTCAAATAGATTAAAAATGCACATGCAAAAGCGTAAACATCTGCATTAAAATGGTTTGAATCAGTCACATTGTGTGTGTGTCTGTGTGTGTGTGAGTGAGTGAGTGTGTGTGTGTGTGTACCTTGATGCAGATGTCTCTGAGCTGAGCTCGAACCTCCAACACCAGCCCCATATTCCTGCTGTTCACAAAGTTCTCTCGACACCAGTCCTGTGAAAACACAACACACAGACATTTCCTAAAGCAGAGACAGAACAGTAAACTCACATGCAAACTCAATAAATATGATGCATTTCATTAATATCAGTTGTCCTCATAAGTGTACACACACCTTGCAGAATCTGGAAAATGTTAATAATTTTATCAAAACATATAGAAATGTCATGTTGTTTTTCATTTAGCACTGCCCCGAAGAAGCTATTTCACATGACAGATGTTACCATGTTTTGCAGCGTTTGTGTCAGTACCTTGTTTCCGCTGACTTTCTTAAAGGCCCTGTAGATGTTGAGGAGCGTCATGTGGTCGCCCTCGCTGGAGATGAACTTCTTGCGGACGGCGAGGACGTCGTCTCTGCGCGCGGGAGGATTGTAGAGGACCGAGTCGACGGAGAGGAGCGAGATGATGGTCAGAACCTCCTCAGCGCAGGAGAAATCAGGAGAGATCAGCAGAGTCTGCGCAGACGCAGAGGAGCACACTTACAGCCAGAAAACAACAGCTTCAGTGCTCCACATCAGATAAACACCGACTGAAATCATTCCAATACATATATTTAAAAAGATATATTTTATTTCAGCTAGTTGTCAAGTCAACATTTCTCATTTTCATTTAGTTTTGATGTACTACAACTAAAATCGAAGTAAAAAGTACTAACTAATCAATGTCAAAAAACAACTAAATTACTAAAACTTTGACTAAAATGAAAATATAAAAAGTTTTTCAAAATATTAATAAAATAAGGCTAACACAGTAATGCTCTACACAAATACATAAATATATATGCAAATACTGTTAGACAAAAGTGTTATAGTAAAGCAATTTCTATTTTATACATCAACTAAAATTAATCAATTAATAAAAACTAATTCAAAATAATAACAATTACAATCCCAATCAAAATTACTAAAATTACAATAACCAGAAAATATAAAACTAATTTAAATATATGCAAACATTTACACAAAGGTGTTATAGAGAAGCAATTTGTACTTGTATGTATTATCAAATAAAATACAAATTAATAAAAACACACAATAAAATGACAAAAACGAACTAAAATTACAATGAAAACGGAAAATACAAAATGCTATTAGACATAAAAATGTTATTGTGAAGCCATTTATATTTTTATATATTATCAAATCAAATAAAAATGATATAGTCATACCTAAGAAATTAAAAGTAATAAAAATGACACATAAAATTACGGAAGAAAATCTAAATCAAACTACTAATTAAAAATAGCATCTCAACTTTCTATTTATGACCCTGGAGCTTCAATAAATAAGAATAAATAAGCTTTCCATTGATGTATGGTTTGTTAGGATAGGACAATATTTGGCTGAGATACAACTATATGAAAATCTGGAATCTGAGGGTGCAAAAAAATCTAAATATTGAGAAAATCATCTTTAAAGTTGTTCAAATGAAGTTCTTAGCAATGCATATTACTAATCAAACATTAAGTTTTACTATATTTACAGTAGGAAGTTTACAAAATATCTTCATGGAACACGATCTTTACTTAATATCCTAATGATTTTTGGCATAAAAGAGAAATGTATAATTTTGACCCATACAATGTATTGTTGGCTATTGCTACAAATATCCCCCAGTGACTTAACACTGCTTTTGTGCTCCAGAGTCACAACTCTGGTCATGTTATTTTACCTGTACAATAAAGCTCAACTTTTTGCCCTGGCCACTGTGGTATTTGTTGCTTTTAGAATGGCTTGCTTACGTTCCACACCCAAACGTTTTAAATTGAAGCCATCTGTATTTCTATAGTCTCTCTTACTTTGGAGAAGCGAGGCTCTAGAGGGAAGCAGGCCATTTTCTTGCCCAGCGGCGTTAAAGACACCTGATCGTCTTTTCTATCGACAGCGCCGAGGATACACAGCTGCTCCACAGCCGTCCGCAGCGACTCTACACACACGAGACGTGTTAGCTCAGAACACAACACTGCACAGCGCCACCTACTATTAAATAAACCTGTGTATTAAACAGGCATACAGAATACAGTCTCACCAGGGGACGGTTTGGACATAAAGTCAAAGTTGAGGACATCAGGAACGCCCAGAGCGAGCAGCTGCAGAATAACACTGGCCAGATTACACCTGCAGAGAGAGAGAGATCATCAGTGTGAAAGTACAGCTTCACAAAACTCACGCTAGCTTGCATCTGTCTGGCTAAAGCGCTGTTCTTGCACTCAAACACAGACAGATGAAACAGAATGAACTGCAATGTCTCCATACACAAACACAATACACTGTTTTTAAACACCACATTAAAAAAATGTTGTAAAAGAAGCATAATTTAAAACAATAGCATCTTTTAAATTAGGCTTTTTTTGTAAGAAAGCAAGTATTGTTTTGTAAAGAAAATAAGCATACTTTTTCTGACAAAATAAGTATTAATGTTTTGCTTTTTAATATAATCAATAAGTATACGTATATTTAACAAAATAAGTATTTTTTTTGCCAAAATGGTTTTAAACCATCTTAAAAACAAAATTGTAAAAACTTGAAAAAGTATAATTTTAAGAAAAAAAATACATAATTTAAAAATATGGCATCAAGAAAATAATTTAAAATAAGCATCTTTTTTTTTATTTATTTATTTTTTTTTTTACAAGTATTGCTTTAAGAAATTAAGCATTTTTTCAAATAAGTCTTTTTTTAAAAATTTTATTTTTAAAGAAAATAAATAGTTTTCTAGCTCAAGTAAAACCAAAATGTTTTAAAACAACCTTAAAAATAGTATTGTAAAATCTTGAAAAACAGTATAATTTTTTTTAAAGAAAATAAGTATCATTATTAAAAAGCTGTATCTTTAATGTCAAATTTTTCTGAGAAAATGGGAAAATAAATTAAAGAACATAAAGAAAGAAAATAAATAGTTTTATTATAGATATAAGAAAAAATAAGTATAATTTTTTTAAAGAAAGTATCTTTTAAAAAAATAAATATGACCCTGCAGCACAAAAGCAGTGTTAAGTCGCTGGGGGATATTTGTAGCAATAGCCAACAATACATTGTATGAGTCACAATTATACATTTCTCTTTTATGCCAAAAATCATTAGGATATTAAGTAAAGATCATGTTCCATGAAGATATTCTGTAAACTTCCTACCGTAAATATATCAAAACTTAATGTTTGATTAGTAATATGCATTGCTAAGAACTTCATTTGAACAACTTTAAAGATGATTTTCTCAATATTTAGATTTTTTTGCACCCTCAGATTCCAGATTTTCAAATATTGTCCGATCCTAACAAACCATACATCAATGGAAAGATATTTATTCACACTTAAGACTGGTTTTGTGGTCCAGGGTCACAAATATACTATTTTTAATAAAGTATGTATTTTAAGAAAATACTCGTTTGTTTCCTTTTTTTCCCCCACTTTTAAAAAAGAAAAAACATGCAGATGAAATGCAAGAACCCATCTTGTGTGAACAGCTATATATATCAGTCTCATACGATCTATCATAACACCTCTGCAGACGGCGTGTGGGCCGTACCTCTGTATCTCGGGTACGGTCATGTTGGCGAGGTTGTCAAACTCCTCTTCAGTGTAGAGACGGTAACATGAGCCGGCGTCTTCTCTCCCGGCTCGACCGGAGCGCTGCCACGCCTGAGCTTTAGACACGCGCTGGACCGCTAACACCTCCAGACCGCTGTCTGAATCAACACAACAACACCTCAGCATCAGCAGCATCTGCATTCCAGCGCTTCAGAGGGTTATCAATACAGCACAGCATTCTGAAAGACTCATCCCATCCAGCACATCATCTGTTTCAACTGTGACCCTCAGGAAGGCGGTACAGGACAATAAAAGCATAAGACTGAAAAACAGCACATATCCCAGGGCTGTTGCAATAACAAATAAACACTGAATGAAACGCCTGTTTTGTGCAATGTTCCACATCGTTTCTTCCACATCTAAACTGCAATTATTCACAGTGGTGTATTCAGAACTGCTTCAACTGTGATGTATATGTAAATATTGCTGCTTAAAGTATATTTATGTGTGTGTGACTCTGCAGCACAAAAGCAGTGTTAAGTCGCTGGGGTATATTTGTAGCAATAGCCAACAATACATTGTATGGGTCAAAATTATACATCTTTCTTTTATGCCAAAAATCATTCGGATATTAAGTAAAGATCATGTTCCATGAAGATATTTTGTACATTTCCTACTGAAAAATATCTAAATTTTATTTTTGATTAGTAATATGCATTGCTAAGAACTTCATTTGGACAACTTTAAAGGTGTGGTTATGACTGGTTTTGTGGTCCAGAGTCACACACACACACACACACACACACACACACACACACACACACTCTCTCTCTCTCACACACACACACACAC